CCCACCCCGATCTCCGGGGTAACCAGGCTCCGCTTCCCCGCAGGCCCTCGCGGCTGGCTCTTGATCTCCAGTTCTCCTTACCTTGGATCGGAGCTCCGATCTCTGCCAATTTGGCCTGAATCTCCTGGGCAGCCCAGGCGCCATAGGGACCAGGAGGTGGCGGCGGCGGCAGCTGCAACTCTCCTTTGGGAGGCTCGGGATGTTCGGCCGCCATCTTAGCAAGCAGCAAGGCGCGCGACCAATACGGAAGCTCGCGCCAGACTCGGGGCCCACTTCCCGGAACTTCCGGCAGCGCGGTACGCCACGTCCCTCCCGGGTTGGCAGGCTGCTTGGTCGCGAAGCCTTCTGGGAGTTGTAGTACGGTACCCGGCCACTGCACCCGCAACACTGGGGACGGGCGCAGGGGCGGGGCTGCGGGGACAGCGGGTCCCTCCCGGAGGGCTCGCTTTCAGCGCCTGGCAGTCCCGAGCGCAGACCGTAGCCTTCCGACTCCCGGAGCCAGTGTGAGAGGCCCGGACGCTTACGTTCCCCGGAGTTCCGAAAGACTAATTCCCCAGCCGCCGCGCGTTGCGGGCGCCAGAAGCAGAAGGTTGCAGCCGATGCCTGCGATAAAACCGCGTCTGATTGTCTGCCCGCCCACCCCGGCCCAGTTGGGAATGAATGCGCTGAAAGGGGATCGGAGCCGGGAGAGCAGCGGACCCGCCCGGGCTGAGCTCCAGCTGCGGACCCGGGGGAAGGGCCACACTTTAAGCCCCTTTTCCCGTCTTCCAGGCCGGCTCAAATGTCGTCTCCGCTAAGCCATCTCCCGTTTTCCGTTGCTTCCTTGGAGCCCTCATAATACATGCAAACCTCCCACCATTTGTTTTGAAGTCTTTCTTGTCCTTCTCCCCACGTCTATCCCCAAGAACGTGAGCAGGGGCCTGCGTTCGATAAATGATAAGTGGGGAGGGGAGGGCAAGTGGAGCAGTCTTTCCAGAGACATTATTTTCGTCTTTTTTAGAATCCAAAATAAACTCAGGATCTTCCCTCATCCCCACCAGCCTCCTGGAGGACCTACCCTGCCTCCTGCACCCCCTAACCCCCACCACTGGCCTGTGCGTCTCAGGGAGAAATGGGCAGGTACCCCTTACCTGCCCAGCTTCCACCTCTCCCTGTCCTGACCAGTCAGTTCAACGTGTGTGGGTGTGAGTGTGTGTGTAGAGCCAGGAAACTCAAGTGAAATGGTCTCATTTCCCCGACACACCCACACCCTTCATATCTCTAGCATGCTCCATTTCACTGGCTGCCTCCAACAAAGAAATGGCTGGGAACAGTGAAAAAAAAATAGGGTGTCGGGTCCAGGGAAGGTGTGAGGTTTACAACAGACAGAGAAGAAGACTGGGCCAGGAAAAATGACTGGCTAGGAAATTCTCTTTGCTCCTGTCCAAACCTTGACCCTTCCCACTTCTATCACTACCGCCATCCCAGTCTCCTGACACTCCCAGAGGGGAAGCCAAACCCAGAAAGGACAGAAGAAAGAACAGTTCGCCCTCCCCTCCAGCTTGTCAGCCCACTCAAGCAGAACCATTCCTGACACAAAGGAAGTGCCTTTCTGCTCCCTGTAACTGGAGAGCCAATGGCAGGTCATCTGAGGCTAGAGGCCCCAAAGCGTGTGTATGTGCTGGGGAAGAGGCTGGCGGTCTCAGGCAGGAGAAACTGAGGGCTGATGGGTGAGGAGGCGGTGTAGCTTAGGCCAGAAAGCAACAACCCTAGTGGGGCCCCATTTTATCCCAACAGCCCTGGGACCCAGGCAGGGTAGGTCCTCCATTGTTCAGAGGGGAAGACTGAGGAGCCAATCTGGGACAAGCAGTTCTCCTGATCCTGAGTGTCCCCATTCCCTCCTCCTCCTTAATAAGGACCCTCACACAACACCTACCTGTGTGGGTGTCGAATGGAATCTAGTCCCTTCCGGTCCCTGCTATGGGTGGCTGCCTCAGCTCTGGGACCCTTGCCATACCAGGCCAAGAGGGCAGGGGAAAGCAGGGCTCCAGGACTCCGTGAGAGCCAGAGAACTACGTGCGTGGCTCTTGGTGTCTGGTGTGACTTTGGGAGGTGCTGCTGCCTAGCTCCTGGAACAGCAGTAGAGAATTCAAGACTATCCCCCCCACACACACACACATACACACAGGAGCTCACAAGTATCATCTTCACATGTATCACCTCTGCGGGCTTAGAACAGCTCCCATCCACTAAGGCTCTGGTCAGGAGTGAGTGGGTCTGGGTCCTGGTGGAGGGTGGGAGTGGGTCAGCAGCAAGGGCTGCTCCAGGGGCTGGAGGAAAAGGTTTCCCAGAGGTATGAGGGCAGATGGGGCCAGACTATGCTTCTATGCAACTATGCTTCTTATCTGGAGGTGGAAAGAGGAGAAGGAGAGGAGGGCGGGAGCATGTGGGCGCCTGTAAATGTACCTGTGTCTCTGACAGCCGCCCCCCCCACCGCGCCCCAGGACGCTCCAGCCCCAGGTTGACCAGTGGGGCCCAGGAATGTCCAGCAATGCCACAGTGTCCAGATACTTTCCGAACCTAAATGTCCCCTTCTGTAAGCGAGGCAAGGAGCCGGCCACCTTGGTGTCCGGACACAGCAAGGCTGCCAGGGAAAGATGCCCGCATCAGAAGATGCCGCCTGGAAAACGTTCATCGGCAGCCTGGAGTCAGGGCTGCCCCCTCCTCTTCTCACTCCCCTTCCCCTCCTCCTCCCCAGCTCCGC